AATTTTAAAAGTATTTTAATTGGAAACACAGCTGATAATATTTGGTTTTAATTCGGCTTTTATCGGGGTTTATTCTTTTGTATTTTTGTATTTTTGTATTGTGTATTTTTTGTATTTTGGGTATATTATTTGTTTTTAATATGCTGTGAACCGCCCTGAGTCCTATGGGAGAAGGGCGGTATACAAATTAAAATAATAAAAAATAATAATAATAATAATGGCTATGGGAGTAATTTCCAAATCATCTCTGTTAATGGTATTTGTTTTGAACTGTGCTATTTAAATATGCCACTTAGGTTGACACTCTTCTGCAGAACTTAGTACAACCAGAGGTCAAGAAAAGTTACTCTATGGTAGGGACAAATCTTTGTCCCATGAATAGATGTGGAAACCAACTAGCTTGCTAACTAGAAAGAAAATGAGTTTTAGAAAAATAATGGGGAACAAACATTGCAGACAAAGGAATATGATAGGCGAAAATTGTTAAAGTTGTGATATAAAGGCGGCAATTTGCAGCCTAAGTGTCAAGTTCTGAAACGAACCTGGCTGAAGCCATCTTTTTCGTTTTGAGTTGCCACATAGATGGGGGGAGAAGGGGGAAATAGTATGGCTATTTGTATCGCTAGTCAAACATTAAGCAGTTCCATGGGAGCCAAGACCATTCCCGCAGGTGCAGGAAGGAGGAGCGAAGACGAATTGAGAAGCCTGCTAATTGCTTTTATTCGGTAGCATGATTTATTGTATTGTAGAGGGGAGGGGAGTGTTACTTTTAGTTACTTTGAATCTCTAGGGAAACTTCAGAATTGGTTTCACTTTTGACTGTGTCGATATTATGTATCCAATAAACATGTGCTTTGAGGAAACTTCAAGCCTCAACAGTTCTGCTTTTTGTGGTTTCATTAGTCAGAACGTTGACATTAACCCAACTTTCCAAAGAGTTGCTCTAAGATAGTAGGTTAGTGTTGAGTGATCCTGGGATTCTGAGCCCCGACCCTCTACCCAATTCTTTTGGGAGACTGCTGAAGACTCAGGGAAGATTCCAGGATGGAGAAAAAAGGAGGAAGCAGCAGCCAATTCCAGAACTACATTTGCAGATGTAACCTGGATGGCCGCCCAGGCTATGGACAGAGCCCTGCTAACCAGAGCATGGCTGAAAATCTGTACGGACAAATCTGACAGGCCAGTGATATGGGAGGAAGCTCTAGCTGTCGTAGACCTTTACCGCCCTAAGGAAGATCTCAAGGCTATCAAGGCTGAGTTTCCCTTGATCGCTACCCATGGCTCTCTACCCCTTATGCCCAAGCGCAGGGTGAAGAGGCTGGCTGGCTGGGAATGGAAGTATCTGATGACGCTACATGGTCACTCGGTCAAAAGGATGAGAAATTCGACCGGCTGGATGTCAGGGAAGTAACCCCGATCAGACGCTATGTAGTCTCAGCTGAAGCCAGGGCAATGTAGTCACTTCCTACCCGCCGGAGCCCAAGTCTTGTTTCTATAGCTCGTGCTGCCTCCCTACTCCCCAAACCGGCCGCAGCATCGAGCGCAGGATCCAGGCAAAGCCCCCCCACACCTTCAGCAAGCTGCAAGCCGAGTTGGGCAACAGAGAGTGTTCCAGAGATAGACTTAACCTCAACTGCGGCCTCAGTACTAGGGGCTTGCCTGGCACCTACCACACTGGGCACCTCCACCCCCTGTGGATCCACCACCAATCAGAGTTACCTTTGACTGGCATCTGGATAGGCTGGTGTTCTTTATGAACCAAGTATGGGCCCACCTGAATCGCTATGCTCTTGACTACCCTGACGAGAGAGTGATGGCAGGAAGCGTAGAAGGGGAAGTTGCGAAGTGGGTGACCAAACTCCACAATGAGGATGCACTGGAGCTGGAGAACATAAACCTTCTCCTAGAAAAGCTGAGAGCCAGGTTTGAGGATGACTCCCAAACCCGGCAAGCCGAGGTGGAAATACGCAACCTGAAGCAAAGGGGCCACCTGGCTAAGGAATTTGTGCAAGAATTCCAAAAAGTTGCAGGCAGAATAAGGCAGTGGCTGGAGTGATTACTTATCCACTGTTTTAAGGACAATTTGGATCATGACCTATATCAGGCCTGCACCTACCAGGGGATTCCTGAGCAGATCTGGGAGTGATACTGGATGACAATGACCTTAGACATCGAACTGAAGCGCTACAAGAAGCCCAGCGCCCCTGAATCAAAGCCCAGGTGAAGCCAAGAAAGATGCCAGTTTGGACAGCGACCAACCACGGCTTCCGATGCTAGTACCTCCCAGGCTCCTACTGGACCTCCTATCAAGTGCTTCAGGTGCAACCAATAGAGACACCGGGCAGCCAAATGCCTAGCGCCAGCTCCCCAGGGAAAGACCACCCCAGCTACCATCTCAAAATCAAAAAAGCCACAGCAACGGGGCTGTGAGAGGACAACTGGGTACATCAAAGCCAACCTGTTGAGGTCTGAGAGGGTGAGAGAGAGAACTCCAGTTGAACGCCAATGCCTGTATGACAGTGATGACAAAGGTGAGAACGATCCGATGATGAGTCAAACCATCCCTCCTTTTGCCCTCCCTGCTAAATTCATAGTCCCTAAAACAGGGGCCCAAACAGAATTAGAAGTCCTAGTAGATTCAGGCTGCACTCGATGCCTGATTAACCTCCTAGCTTAAGCTAGGAATCCGAGCCAAGAAACTGTCCCTAGCCATGAGGTTTGAGCTGGTCAAACTGGGTTGTTGAGCTGGGTTGTTAATTACGACACACCTAACTGAACCAATATGGCTGGAGATAGGACAGCACTGGAGGATTATCCAGTTTGTAGTGATCTCCAAAATGACTGAGGCTGTAATCCTGGGGCTGGCTTAGTTTGATTAGTGGTGACCTACCATATGGTGGGAAAACGGAGTGAGAACTATGAGGTTAAGAATTGTGCCCCTACCACCTCTTTATGACAGCTAAGAGAGAGAAGTCATCCCACTGGGGCCAGGCAGAAACTGACTTGAGACTTTGAAAATTGCCACTGAGCGATTACCAGGGTCCAACTTATCCCTAGTGAATACCGGGACCTAGCTGATGTGTTTAGAGAGAAAGAATGTGACGTGCTTTCCCCTCACCAAGCTACTGACTATGCAATAGAAATCTTGCCAGGGGTGAAACTCCCCAAGCCAAAGATGTATTCCATGATCCCCAGAGAATGACTGAACTACGAGAATACTTTGTTAAGAACCTGGCTAGGGATTTCATCTAGCCAGCAAAATCACACGGGGTTGCCCTTTTGTTGTTCAAAGAGAAAAAAGGTGGGACTCTGAGACTGTGCGTGGATTTTAAAGGCTTAAATGCTGTTAGCGTGGAGAACATGTACCCCCTTCCCGATAAGGAGACATGTTGGCCCATCTGGCAAAGGGAAAGATTTTTACTAAACTGGACTTGCAGGAGGCTTACTACTGAGTAAGGATTAAGGAAGGGAATGAATGGAAGACCGCCTTTAATTGCCCGCTGGGAAGCTTCCAATTCAGAATGATGCCTTTTGGTCTCCAGAGGGCTCATACAGTATTCATCAGTTGATAAATGAAGTGCTACATAATCACCTGTAAAAGGGGTTTTCAGTTTATCTTGACGATATCCTCATCTTTACAGAGACGATGGAGGAGCATATCAAACTAGTTTGTGAGGTGCTTAAAAGCAAACTTTATGACAAACTGTCAAAATGTGAGTTCCATCAAACTTGCCTCAACTACCTGGGGTATTGAATATCGAGTGAAGGGGTGGAGATGGACCCAGAGAAGGTCAAAGACGTTCTGGAATGGCAGCCCCCTTGAACCCATAAGTAACTGCAAAGGTTTTTTTGGATTTGCTAACTTCTATCCATAGTTCATCCCTTCCTTCGCAAAAATAACCTTACCGATTACCGAACTCTTCAAAACCTTTAAAGTGGACCTTTAAAGTGGACTATGGAGTGCCAAGCAACATTTGAACAATTCAAAAGATTGTTCGCAGCAGAGCCAATCCTGAAACATCCCGATCCCGAGGAACAGTTCATCATTCAAGCAGATGAAAATTATGTTGCTGTGGGTGCAGTTCTTCAGAAAAATGACATGGGGGAGCTGCAACCTTGTGCATATACCTCAAGAAAACTCACTGACACAGAACGGCGTTGGGCTGTATGAGAGGAGGCATTTGCTATGTGATGGGCATTGATAACCTGGTGCCACTTCCTAGAGGGGAGTAAAATACCCTTTGAAGTGTGGACTGACCATAAAAACCTCAAAGTGCTCAAAACCCCATCCAAATTATCTCCTAAACAAGTTTGATGGGCACAGCATTTCAATCATTTTAACTTTTCTCTCAAATACATTCCTCGAGGAAAGAAATTCCTAGCTGATGCCTTATCTAGGATGCCACAGTACAAGAGCCGTTGAGAGAAGGTGGTAAATGCTATCATCTTCTCCCTTCAAAAAGCCTCTCAAGTAACCATCAGGCATCAAACCCAAAAGCAATCAATCAGTTCTGACAGCGAATTGATCCAGAAACTCAGAACTGAATTGAAATCCGACCCCTGGTTTAGAGACAACAAACAGCTGTAAACCTATAGGAATGAATTAGCATGGAAAGGTTCCAAATTGTACCTTCCCAGCACCCTCAAGGTCCAGGCCCTGCAATGGAGCCATGATGCTAAGCAAGCTGGTCACTTTGGATTCTTAAAAACTTTGCATTTAGTAAGACAGCAGTTCTAGTGGCCTGGAATGAAAAAAGACATTGAAAACTATGTTAAAAGCTGTGCAATTTGTGCTGCTATGAAGACCTGTAAGACCCCATGGACTATTACAACAAGTAGCGGAACCATCCCAGCCCTGGGAAGAAATTGCAATGGATTTTATTGTCGAACTCCCTGAAAACAGCGGAACCACCATGATTTGGACTGTCATTGACCTCTTTTCAAAGCAGGTTCACTTTATAACCTGTCCTGGTCTCCCCTCTGCTCAGAAAGTAGTGAAACTGTTCCTGAAGCGTATCTACCAGCTCTATGGAGCTCTGAGAAGAATCATACCAGATCGGAGGGTCCAGTTCACCTCAAAGTTTTGGCAGGAGTTTGTAAAACTGATTGGGTCCACCCAGGGATTCAGCTTGGCTTTTCATCTGAGTACGAATGGAGCCACTGGACGAGAGAACGCAATAGTGGAGCAATAGTTGAGATGTTATATTAATTATCAGCAAACTAACTGGGCAGACCTCCTGCCTTTTGCTGAAGTAGCATACAACAATACGGTGCGCAGCAGTACCGGTCTTACTTTCTTTAAAGTAGCAACAGGCAGTGCCCATGCCAGAGTACCTTCAGGAGCCCCCCTCCTCATAGACACTAATCAAATGGGTAAACACACTGCACAGCATTTGGGCGAACATTAAACAAGTTTGGAAAAAGCCGCAAAAATTTATAAGGAGCAGGCAGGTAATAGGCGATCTCCCCAGAGACTGTTTCATATAGGAGAGAAGGTCTAACTCTCGACCAAATACTTAAGATTAAAATTGCCTTGCAAGAAGGTGGGACCCAAATTCATTGGTCCTTTTCCCGTTGTAAAGATTATTAACCCTGTCCAGTTCAGTTAAGGTTCCCACAACTATTGGGGAAAATACATCCAGTTTTCCATTGCAATTTGTTGAAACCAGTTACAGAAACAACCTTGAGGCCAATACCCCGAACCGGCCTAGGGTCCATCATAGTGGAGGGTGATACCCATTATGAAATAAAACAGATTCTTGACTCTAGGTTGTACAAGGGAAAACTACAGTATCTAATTCAATGGAAGGTCTACCCTTTGTCAGAAGCTACCTGGGTAAAGAGTAAAGACGTAATGGCAGAAAGATTAATAAATAAATTTCATAACAAACATCTCCAAAAGCCTAGGGAACCATCAGAAGATTAGTATGATATTAATGTGCATTTATGCTTATTGTTTTGCTGGAAGTCCTTTCCCTTTTGGGGGTCCGACTGTCAACTTCTGAAACGAACCTGGCTGAAGCCATCTTTTTTGTTTTGAGTTGCCACACAGATGGGGGAAGAAGGGGGAAGTAGTATGGCTTTGTATCGCTAGTGAAAACATTGAGCAGTCCCATGGGAACCAAGGTCATTCCCACAGGTGCAGAAAAGAAGAGTGAAGATGAATTGAGAAGCCTGCTAATTGTTTTCATTGGGTAGCATGAGTCATTGCATCGAAGAGGAGAGGGGAGTTACTTTTAGTTACTTTGAATCTCTAGGGAAACTTCAGAATTGGTTTCACTTTTGACTGTGTCAATATTATGTATCCAATAAACAAGTGCTTTGAGGAAACCTTAAGCCTCAGAGTTCAGCTTTATGTGGTTTCATTAGTCGGAACGTTGACACTAAGATCTGCAAAAGGGCTCCTCATATGCAACTTTCAAACAGAGTCTTAGTCCTTCTTCCTCAGATACTGTTGAGCTAAAATTCTCACTAGGCCAAACAAAGCTGAAAGTCCAGCAACATCTGAAAGGCTACAGATCCCTTTGTTGCAATGGCCAATTTGTAAAAAAAAAAAATTGACAATGTATATGTATTAATTATACCCTGTAATTTGGGGGAGGGTCTGTCATTAACCAAACCTTATTTAATTTATAAAACTGATCTCTCCCTCATTCTCAGGAAGAAATAACAAGGCTAAATATAAAAGAAAGAGAAAAAGAAGGAGAAAAACTTAAAAATATTAACTAATATTTTAAATCTATTCCATTGCAATGAGAGGGATCCAAGCATAATTTTAAATCTCTTCCACTGTAATAATATTTAAAACTGAGTATTTCTAAAGCTATCTACTGTTATTCACATGGGACAGAGCCAATTAAAAGTTTACAGTAATTAAAACTGCAAGGCATCTATGGACATCTTGCACATTGGCACAGTATATTCTCCATAGATTTTTGTTATTGTTAATTGCGAAGTCATGTCCGATCCATCGCGACCCCATGATTTTTACATGCTCAGAAATACAAAGCATACGTACCTTTAGCATAGTATCTAAGGTTATACTATCACCATGTTTCAAAACAGTTACATATACCTGGAAAGAAAAATAATTTTAAAGTAAAGTAACCTACTTTCTATGATTGTATTCCTATCAGTCAGCTTAGGACATCCTTCCCTTTTTACATTTCAACCTCCAAAGTTTAACCTATCTCTACTCAAAGCTAGTCTGAGGAATTTAAAAAAATGCAACTATTCTACTAGCATTTGTCCTATATAGGCTATGGTTGTATCTAACATTTTAGGGAAAGGAAATTTCTGACTGTAGACTGGGGAGAGATGATGGAAAACTGCTTAAAAAGACATTACTGTTCCATCACCAGGAAAGAACCCAAAGCAGAGTAATTACATGTTAATCAGCCTTGTATGAAAGGCAGAATTTGAATCAAGAAGATTATGTGAAAAACTCAGAACTACTGCAAAACAAAATGTTTGAAAGCAACTTACAGAACTCCTTAGATCAGCAGACAGGATGTGCTTCCCTTCCACATGATCTTTAAACCGTCGCCGAGCTTCTTCCAAAGTTGCCTTGTGTCCAGCTTTTCCAAGCTTGCCCAAAACTAAACCTCTCAGAAGTGCATCTAGATGACCTGATAGAAAATAATAAAAAAATAAGAAAGTTGTATTTTAAAAAGCTTTATTGTACATACATAGTATGATTTTGAACAAGATCACAGAATCCGAACTTTAAAGGACTCCCAATATCTTGAGCATGAAATCTAGGAAGTGTTCTGTAAAATATTCAGTCCTTCATTTCCTATACTCTCAACAATTTCTTTCAGCAACTATCATGAATGCCAGTTTCAAAGGTTATGTCCTAGATCTGCAAAAAACTTGATATGTCTGTGACTATTAATAGCATTAATGAAAGAAAATGAACTCAACATCAACAATTTCCATAAAAAAATTATCTGGACTGAATCGTCAAAGAAAAGTATGCTGACTTATATAACAGAAGCAACTGCTTGAGAGAGGTACTATCAATTGAATTGCAACAGTGTACTGCACTGTAAATGCTTGTCTAATACAATGATCAGGTTCCCATGATATGCTAAGCTATACTGTGATTTTTATGTAGCAAATCATATATAGACTTCAATCTGTATAATCTTATTTGTGCCAAGAAGTTCTTCAGTTCTGGATGAGAAGCGAAAAGTTTTCAAGGAAAAACAAAGTCTGGTTGTCTTTTGAAAAAGCACCTTTGGAACAATAATGACCTGAATGAATGAGAATCTCCACAGACATAATCCTGTTTGATTTTGGCTAATCTAGTGTGCCTAGAATTTGCTGGTTGTTAATAGTCAGCACTCTTTACCAGGATTAAAGAAGGGTTCTTAGTAATGCAATAAAGTAGAGTCACTAAAGAAACATCATTTCTGCTGCTCCGTCATTGGGTGTTTTTTTTTTGGGGGGGGGCAGTAATGGATATATTCAAAGGTTAATTAGGATCACAAAGGAGGCAGCTGTAGACCCAGTTCTGCTCTGTTTCTCTGCAAGTTAGTTCTAATCCTTACCAGGCCATTGCACATCCTCACTATTACGAAAAAGGTTTCTTTTAATAAGTGAAGTCAAAGACTATTCTCTATTCCTGATTTAAAAATAGGATCAAGATTTAAGGCAAATTTAATCATAAACAGTATAGAATTTTAAAAATTAAGTTTCATCTTAGATCAAGTTTGAAAGTGTATGGTAAACTACCATTCGATAACATACAGAAATCGCTAGGTCCATCTAGTTTGTCATACCCCATCACTCAGATCACTTCATTCTGAATCAACTAAAATTTCTATATTATCTTTAAAGAAATCTAGGTATAAAATGTATTATAACAATCAATTCCATATATCATTTAGAAAACGTAAAGCAAAATTCACTTGCTCCAGATGAACTCATAGACTGTATACCAGCTTAAACTACAATTCAGTTTATCCAAGTACTATAAAGTGCTGCGTTTTTCAAGGAACCAAAAGCATATCAAAGACTACTTGTGAATACTCAGCCAGAGGATTAGTTTGTAAGTGACAGCACCTCGGTGTTTTCTGAATTAAATTTCAATCTGTTCACATTCAGACAGTTTTAGAACTCTACAGATTCTCTACAGTGCATAAATGGAACCCAGAAGTATAGCTGGATATCATACACGTGCTAATAACTCATGGCCCCAGATGACAATCTCCAGCAATATCATCATTCTCTTGAATGAATCCTCATCAAATTGGAGAAAGAAAATTTGGAAGTGGTGACAAGAAGATCTTTCCTCCTGATTATTTCTAAGGCTACTCCTTCAAATTTCTGGTTTTGCTTCTGCTGCTTTGAACTTTGAACAAAGCTTGCTGCCTTCTTCTCATTATAAGAATCTTCTGACCTACGTTGCCAGATTTTTTGTCTTCACTGGCATACCCTGAACAGATCAAGCAACTTCAGATAGAAGTGAAAAAGCAACACACTTCTTATACTATTGTTCTGGCAACAGTATTCTGCTTCTTAAGCCCAATTTATATAATTAATCCAACAATACATTTTAATTAATGGTACCAATGCTGCTGAGAAATCTAGAAGAACCACATGGACCATATTCTGAATATTTTTAATATATCCAATCTATCTGTACATCATACGTAATACCTGGAATAGATGAAATGAAGATGAAAGAAATAACTGGTATACTGTAGGGTATGATTACTAATACAATCTTACTTCTGATTAATTCTACTGACTCTGGGTCTTCTACCTTATTCCAAGCAGAAACCAGACCCTCAGCAGTTCAACCATCTGAAATTGCAAAAAAATCCATAGCAAGCCTTAGAAACCAATTTCCAGGGGAAACTATCAAAGTTGGTCCCTATTCCTAAATATTTTGGAAATATAAGTCTCTGATAACCAAAAGGGGCAAGATAAAACTAAAATAATGAAGGATCAAAGTATTCATAATTCTTCATACCCTCACCAGGCCTGGGGTCCCAGCCCAGTTTTTCTCCTATTGGTGAAAAGATATCACGGATGAATGCCTGAATTTCTTCGTAGAAGTCTGTGTGGGACAAGAGAGTTGAGAGAATCCCCAGGTTACAGCTTAGGTCGCTCCAGACAGTATAGTTGGGCTCATTCACAAAAGCTTCCATGATTTTTAGAACCTCTACAGTGCTAATAATTCCAGCTCTGGCCTGAGAGAAGAAAAACAAGTAAGTTACACTCCAAACCAAAAGAAATATTCAATCTTACCAAAAGAAAAAGCTATGTAGACTTTTCTCATATGGATAATGGTTGTAGAACACCTGGCTCCTTGTTATAAATTATACAGAGTCATTTAGAGTATGTCTAACAAGAGGTAGAATGTCAATACAGAGCCAGAAACTTCTATCAATCCAAGCCATATACGAAAGTAGTAAACAACAACAGAAGAATATTGCTATTTCTATGATTTCAAAAACTCAGGCAGTTACTGAAAATTCTAGCTGCCAAACATTTACAGCTATAGGTAGTTTTCAACTTACGACCACAATGGACCCTGGAATTTCAGCTGTAAGTGTTGCAGTCATAAGTCATATGGCTGGACTCGATTTTACCACTATTTTTTACAGGCAAGTCTCCACATTTGTTAAGTGAATCACATGATGATTAAGAGAATCATATGGTCATAAAGAGAATCCAGCATATCCAATGGTATTTTAGCTGAAAATTGGCAAAAAAAATAATCACAAATCACATTCTTGTGATCACAAAATTCCTCCAATAGTAATGTGATCACAAAACGATAGGGGGAGGGATAGTTGTTGTAAATAGCTTTTTAAAAAAATCTGTCATAATTTCAAATAGTCATTAAGTAACTGGTCGTAAGTCAAGAATTACCTGTAGTGTATTTGTGGATGTGGCAATTGATAATAGTTACCGCATGAACTTGAAAGCAATTCAAATCACTTTGGTGATTGAAAAGTTCAAACTGATCGACTGGTACTCTCCATTAAGTGAATGTGTGTCACCAAATCCTTCACAAGCCCCTAAGATTTCAGCGTTACATTATATTTTATCATTATCAATCATAAAGCATTAATATTTGAAGAATACCTACCATCTCTAAAGAAGGAGCCAAATTAATTTTGAGTTGAAATTAACAACCCTGAAATCAATCTACTCTGGTTTATTGAGGTGGTATGAAACAAAAAGGAAAATTGTGGAAGTCATTCAATTTAATATCCTGATTCTAAAAACATCTCTGAAAACAATACAGCGAGTTGTTTGGAATATAAAATAGTGACAAAATCATATAATTCCACACTCAGCAATGGCACAGTTTAGCACTTGGTGGGGAATTCCATACTTGTTCTTAAAAATAAAAAGTTGCTAGCAGAGTAACCAATAGTTACAAAATCCCAGATACATCTTATATAAAATACCAGAAGTTTGCTTCCAAGAAAATAAAAATGTAAATGTTTGTTTTTTTCAAAATCTTAAATCTCCGAAAGTTCTTCACCGATTGCTTTGAAATTTTGACACAACGTTGCATTTGAATATGCGCGTTTTTATATACCTACTATTATATAGATGTCACACCTGTGACAGGTAAAAACATGTTTTTGAAAAACAGTGCCATCTGTTGGACGTAAAAGCAACACACGCTAACCAGACTGAGCCACAGCAACACGTGGCCGGGTACAGCTAGTAATGAAAAATAATAGAAATAGCAGGAATCAACCTTTCATAGCACTTTAAATAAAAAAAAATATTCAGCTTGCAGAATATTTCTCAGGGGTGTTTGGATTTCCATCTGGTACTTTATATATGTCATTTATTCATGCTTCAGTGTATTCCATACTTAAAGCTACTGACATGAAATCAGAAGCAATTTATTAGAAAACAGCACTACAGTTAAAAGTTTAAGACTAGGACTGCAGATATATGAAGTTCATTAATTGAAAATATATTGTGCCTCCAGATGTAGTATGATTCTTGAAGGAGAAAGAAAAAGGAGACAAGATAAAAAGCCGAGGGAAAAATATTAACAAAAGGAAAGAGATATCCACTTACCAAGGAAAAGAGATCATTCTGCAGCCCTAGTCTGTCCACAGGGAGTAAGGAGAGATCACGGATAGCTGGAAGTAAACTCTCCAGCATGTCAGGACTGTATTGTGTCCGATAAAATCCCACAGTTCCCAGATTTAGCTGAAAACATTGGGAGTGAGATTCAGTTAGCAGTTGGAAAGAATACACAATGACATCCAACACATTAAACCAAATATAGAGAATAGAATAACATGGCAAGATTTAATAATGTCTAACAATACAGGTAGCCCTCAATTTACGACCATAATTGAGACTGAAATCTTGTTCACAGAGTGATGTGATAATTAAGTGAGATGCTCACAAGACTGATTTCAGAATCAGAATAGAGCTGGAAGGGACCTTGGAGATCTTCTAGTCGAAAACCCTGTTCAAGAAGGAGCCCCCTATACCATTTCAGACAAGTGACTGTCCAGTTTCTTCTTAAAAAATTCCAGTGATGAAGCAGCTACAACATCTGAAGGCAAGCTGTTCCACTGGTTAATTGTTCTCACTGTTAGGAAGTTTCTCCTTAATTCCAAGTTGCTTCTCTCCTTGATTACTTTCCATCCATTGTTTTTGTCTTGCCTTCTGGTGCTTTGGAAAATAAGTTGACCATCTCTTCTTTATGACAGCTTCTCAAATACTGGAATACTGCTATCATATCATCCCTAGTCCTTTTCTCTAGACTGGCCATACCCAATTCCTGCAATTGTTCTTCTGTCTCCAGGATTTTAATCATCTTAGTTGCTCTTCTTTGCACTTTTTCCCAAAGTCTCAACATCTTTTTTGTAATGTGGTAACCAAAATTGGATGTAGTATTCCAGGTGTGATCTTACTAAAGCTTTATAAAGCAGTACTAATACTTCACATGATTTGATTCTATGCCTTTGTTTATACAGCCAAGGATTGTATTAGCTTCTTTGGCTGTTGTCACACACTGCTAGCTCATATTTAAGTACTCATCCACTAGGACTCCAAGATCCCTGTCACAGTTATTATTTTTAAACCAGGTTTCACCTAATTTGTACTTGTACCTTTGGTTTTTCCTTGCCTACATATAAAACTTGCTTTTCTCCACATTAAATTTTATATTGTTGGATAGGGCCCATTGTTCAAGTCTGTCAAGATATTTTTGGATTCTGAGCTTGTCTTCTGGGGCAGCTATTCCTGCCAGTTTTGTGTCATCTGCAAATTTGATAAGTTCCCCTTCTATTCCCTCATCTAAGTCATTTATGAATATATTGAAGAGTACTGAGCCTAAGACAGAACCTTGTGGTATCCCACTGTTTACTTCCCTCCATGTAGATGTAGCACCATTAAGGACAACTCACTGAATATGGTTTGTCAGCCAGTTAGAAATCCATCCGGTGGTGATGCTTTCTATGCCACATTTTTCTAGGTTACCAAGTAGGTTGTGGCCTACTTTGTCAAATGCCTTGCTGTAAGTATACTATATCCATAGCATTTCGCTGGTCTATTAATTTACTTACTTTGTCAAAGAATGAAATACGATTGGTTTGGCATGGTTTATTTTTAACAAATCCATGCTGGCTTTTAGTTATATCTTTATTTTTTTCTAGATGTTCGCAGATCTGTTTTTTGATTATCTTTTCCACTATCTTCCCAGGTATTGATGTTAGACTGATTGGTCTGCAGTTTCCTGGGTCTGTTGTTTTCCCCTTTTTTTGAAGATGGGAACCACATCAGCTGTTTCAGGATTTTTGAAAGATATGGTACAATTGTTCTGAGATAATATCTGCCAGTTCCTTCAGAACTCTGGGATGTAATCTATCAGGGCCCAATGATTTATATTCATCAAGACCAGACAGCTGTTCTCTTACCATTATCTTGCTTATTGTAATTTTTATTCCTAGTCTGTCTTTTACAGTTATGTTTTTGATAGGTTGAGCTATAGTTTCCTTTTGCATGAAGATTGATTCAAAGAATGAATTAAGCAGCTCTCCTTTCTACTGCCTATTACTTCCTTGCCACCTTCTCTCTTAAGAGGACCTACTGTTTCCTTGACTTTTTCCTTGTTATTTATATGTTGAAAGAAGCTTTTTTTTTATTATCTTTGACTTTTGTTGCAAGTCTTTGTTCATTCTGAGACTTTGCTTTCATGACTTTATCTTTGCAGATTCGGGCTATTTGCTGATACCCTGCCTTAATTATATGTCCCTCTTTCCATTTTTTATATTTGCCCTTTTTGTCTTTCAGTATATCAGAGAGATCTTTGTGCAACCATGCTAGTTTCTTCTTGGATTTCTTATTTTCTTTTTCAGTGGTATTGTGCTGGACTGGGCTTTTATGATCATATTTTTCAGAGTTTCTCACGCTTCTTGAATTATTTTACCCTTCAGGATTTTCATCCATGGAATTTTTCTTAGATTTTCTCTGAGTTTGTTAAAATCAGCTCTTCTGAAGTTTAAGACACTGACTGGATTATGGCCTACTGCTTGTGTTTGCATTATACTGAATTCCAATTTGATGTGGTCACTCTTGCTCAAAGTTCCAGCAAGTTCAACTCCCTCTATCACGTCTTCTCTATTAGTAAGAATTAGTGTAGCTTTTCCTCTAGTTCCCTCCTCTACCTTTTGGATGACAAAGTTGTCAGCTAGGTTGATTAGGAATCTGTTTGATCTCCCATTTGCTGCAGTTTGTCTCCCAGTTGATATCAGGGTAGTTAAAGTCTTCCATTACTACTGTGGTATATTTCCTTCATACAATTTGTTAATTGTTTAGCAAAAAGTTCATATATTTCTTCTGTTTAGTTGGGTGGCCTGTAATATACATATACAGCAATGTCATTCTTTTTTTCCTTTTATATTGACTCATACAGACTCTAGGAGGTTTTCATCCTTGGTTTTGTGGATTTCTGTAGAGATGTAGTGATCTTTTATATATAATGCAATTCTACCTCCTCTTTTGCTAAGTCTGTTTTTTTTTTTTTTTGAATAGTTTGTATCCTTCCATCAATACATTCCAGTCATGAGTTTCATCCCATCATGTTTCAGTAATGGCAACTATATCATATTTACCTTCATGTACTAGTACCTCAAATTCAACCTGTTTGTTCCTTAAACTTTAGCATTTGTGTATAGGAATTTGAGTCCTTTATGGGTCTTCATTGTGTTTCTTACATCTCTACTTTGTATCTGGGTTTTCCATCCTTTCAATCACTCTCTACTTGTGTTTTCCCTTTTTTTCTTTTTTCTCTTTACTCCCTACCTCCTTATATGATTGTTTATCTAGTGGCTTTTGCTTGGAACTAGGTTCTAAAGGTCTTGAAGATAGGTCCCCCTCAATTTGCTCAATAGCAGCAATTCCAGCATTCCTGCTTGTAGTTGTTAAGTGATCTCCTAAGTCATTAAGAGGATTGAGTGAAAGAGCTGCCTACTGCAGGATTTCAGCTCCATGCAGCTCTTTTGCTCTTTAACATCCCTGCTTACCAAAGGATTTCCCCTCACTTCCATATACAAGGGGATTTTTTTCAGCAGAGAGGGAAAATCCTGAAGATTTATATGGAGGAGAAATTCTAAAGATTTCTGCTCTGTTCCTACAGCCTGCCAAAGGATTTTGGTCTCCCTCTTTTCCCTCTGTCTGCAAGCTTTCCTGCCAGCTTTCCAATTGACTTTCTGGGAAAGCAGGCAGAGAAGACCACAAATGGAAATCATGTGATCATGGGGTGCTTGTCAACCAGTTGTAAATGCAATCATACGATTGCTGGTGGTAGTATTACATTTTATGATGCCCAGAAGTGCTTTATGGCCCATGAGCTGTTGTAACTCTGAACAATCATTAAACAACCACTCAAAAATCAAGAACTATTTGTAACACATTCTGTTATCACCAGCTTCAGAAAAAAAGGGGTTGTTCCAGCAAGGACAAAAGCAAAATAAAAGTTATTTAATTATGAAGTTGACAATTCTCCAGCTGGCTCATTGTTACTAGTGACATGGAGACCAGATAAATTTTACATGATCTTCTCCTTTGAGATTATTTGTGCAGTAGCTAAATTTCAGGTTGCTGCATGAAAGCAAGATATATTTACCTTTATTTTAAAATAACCCAAAGATGCTTTTCCACGAGGCAACTGGACTTTCTGGTTTTTCTTTGACGACATTTCACTTCTCATCCAAGAAGCTTCTTCAGCTCTGAGTGGATGGTGGGAAATGAAAGGATTTATATTCCTTGCAGACAGGCTGTTCATTTGCATTCTTTTAGCGAGTTGTCAAAGCTACCTGGAGGCTTATCTGTGTCTTCAGGATCACCTGAGTAGTGCAAATGGGTGTGGAGCCTTCTTGGAACTGTTGAAAGGACTGTGTTGTAGACTGGAGATAGACGATATCAGATCCTTTCCCCTCTGTTCAGAGAGGGCTGTTCAATTTTGACATAGATGGGATCTTTGATTCCTCTTTCAAACCAGCGGTCCCCTCTGTCCAAAATGTGGACTTTGCTGTCTTCGAAAGAGTGGCCTTTGTCTTTTAAATGCAGATGGACTGCTGACTCTTGTCCCGATGGGTTTGTTCTCCTATATTGTGCCATACATTTATGAAGTTGTTGTTTCATTTCCCTAATGTACACATCTGCACATGGCTCACTGCACTGCATATACCACATTGCTCAGTTTGTGTCTGAGTGTTTTATCCTTGAGGTGGACAAGCTTCTGCCTTAGTGTATTCTTAGGTTTGAAGTGTGCACGTATGTTGTGTTGGCTGAAGATCCTCCTGACTTTTTCCGATATTCCTGCAACATATGGAATGACTACATTGCTTTGTTTATTGTTTTCTCCGTCTGTTATTATTAACTGTAGGGATATATACTTTTACTTTTTATTTTATACCTATTAATATTTTAGATTTATCACCTGGAAAAATAACTGTATTAACTGTATTAAGAGGAATGAATGAATCCTATAAAATTAAGTTCAAGCTATTCCTTTTTAAAATTACTTGACAAAATCAAGGGACTCTTCAAACCCAAGATGCAATGCAACTTTTACACGTGGCCTCACTTTTATCTTGTTTAAAATGAAGAGGATGATTTGCACTTAATTATTCATTTTTAACTGAACCTTGTTCATAACCTATTAACTTTTAGGCCACAGTTTCTGGCACTATCTTCTATTATTCTCTACATGGTTTGCAACTATAGATAGTTGCTAATATTGACTGTTTAAATTTTATTTTATGTTTCATAATTTTTGTGTTTATTTTCTCTGACAAACTTACAAGTGAATCGGACTATGATTTCTCAATGCAGTAAGATTTAAATTTAGAAATGATCTGGGAAAAACTGAGTCTTGAACCTAAACCCAGGAAATATCACAAGAAATCATTGGAGAATACTGATATATTTCCTCTTTACAACCCTCCGAGAATTATTGTGACCTCATTTGGCAAAAGAAAGGAGCAGTAATGGTAAGATGCACAACTAGAGTTTCCCAGTTTTGATATCAATTGACATTTCTTTCAGCAATGCTGCAACCAACATCTTATCTATTAAATATGTCAAGAATTTCTAACTTTGGTAAACAAAGTGATGATAACTTCTCTTATGCAATTAAAGTGATGTGGACACTAACAGAGATCTTCTAAACTTGTATTATTTTAGTCAAGGATACTGGATTGCTTAATATAGCATATCAAAATAATAGTATTAGAATACAGAACTACTATTATTTTGAGATATACATTATTGTATATAGTAGAATGAAATAACTTTTACAAAACTCTAGATAAATACTGACAAAACAACAGCCACTGAAAAAGCTACTCCTATAAAACAAATATTGGAAGGGAAGGAAGTTAAGGACAATTGTTTAGATTATCAACATTGTGATAATCTCTGGCAAAATTATGACAAGATAATTATGACTTAATATCAGATTCTTAGAGAAGAATTTTATAGTACTAAAAGAAGCCCAGCAACGAAGCAAGAAATCTAAGCACTTAGAGATGACAAAAACTGTAAGGAATGCACACAGTTAACTATTTGTAATGGAAAGCCATTTCTACTGAGAAATTGTTAAACAATGAACTTTAACTGGATCACCAAGTCAACAATCATCTCCATCATGCATGATCATTAGTTATCTTTCCTAATACCAATAACAGCTATAATGTTATAGTAGGTTTTTTACAAAACCACAGAAACATTTGAACATTTAATAGCAAACAAAATAAATTAACATGGGAAGCTTATACTAAAAGTCATAAACTGAACATGAAAGAAACAATTCCAGTGTCCTTGTATATGGGCTATTGGTGGCATTACATTAAGAGAACAAGGCAGCTCTGAATAAAAATTAACTGTTTTCTTTTCTCCCGACTAATCAAGATACTAACTAGGAAGAATAAGATAAGACAATAGGTTGGACAATTATATACACTTAGGGAGTTTATATATACACACTTTTTTTTATTATAACTCACCTTAATCCATTGCTCTGGTTTCACATCTTTCAAAACTAAAGTTAACTCAGGCTTGTCCATTAATACTTGCATTTTGGCATGGATTGGATCATCACTTGTACAAATGGTAATGGGAATCATCCACAAAGGGCAATCTTCCCCTATATAAAAGAAAAGAAGGACACCTGACAGAACAAGGTATGATGTGGTCCACTGTCCAGTCCCCAAAAACATATTTGAGGATTTATGGAATAAGAAGCAAAATCACAGCAGCTTTCACCCAGCACATTTGTAGAATGGAAATCCAATCATTCTGCAAAAACAAATATATTCAAGGTCTATACCTTCCCTGAAACAACTGGTACTCTAACAACTTAAATTTTATGCAAAGAATGATAACACTGAATTTACTTTCTGGGTCTCATAGAACTATATTTTAGGATGACTCAGGCAGTCACCTGTAAATAAAAACTGTTATTTAAATGAACATACATATTTACATATTCACATGAACTATTACTCTTGTTCTCTATAACAAATGAGAAAGGATAAGTAAAAACAAAATAAAAAACCAGTTGTAGATTAACCATGAAAATTTAATAATTTAGGGATATCTCGTATTTCAGTTGTACTCACAACTGAAGCAAAGAAGTACCTCCATATAACACAACAGGTACCATCATAATTACTAACAAGATATATGTTGATCTTCCTTTTCAAACAAACATCCTTTTCAAAAATCAATTGAATAAACTGTCTTCAAACTCAAATTCTAATCAACAGGTACTATTTTTTTATCAAAATAATTAAAATTCAGTTCTATTCTAAATTGGCAAACGTTTAGTTTGCTTTTCATTTTGTGCTTTAATAAGGAGCCTACAGTTCAACTTGTTTATACAAGTCATCTAAGTAATTTGCTTTTAATAACATTTTCTCAACTGCAGGTACAGTATTCTAGGACTATGATTTTTTTTTAACTACCCAGTAATTCCTTGCATTGGGGTGGAGTCAGGGCGACTGAATGGAGCTCAAGTGTTTATTGGCCAGATGCCCTTCGAGACGCCTGTGTGGAGTTTGTAGCAGACAATTACTCATTGTGCTCAGAGAGAAATATCTGCCCCTACCTAGGATCGAATTCACAGCCTCCTGATAGTGAGGCAAGATACATCTACTTAATACTTACTAACTGTTCATGTATATACATTTATTCAGGGAAGAAATATTCATGCCTTTTAGATTTTCTGACTTTTTGCATAACTTGCCAATGAATGTAATGGGTGTTTCATATGAATCCTACTGATAGATTAAGAGAACCTGAGTATCCAAAGGAGAACTTAAGACAAGTAATTTCAGACGCACTCATGGATGCCCTGGCTTGTGGACAGGAAATTTATTTGGAATTAGAGCGTGTTTTTAGGGTGAATTCTTGGATTGCTCGTCAAAAAAATTTGCCAAGAGATGTGGTGGTCTATTTTACAAGAAAATCGAGACGAAATGAAATAATGCAGCTTTTTTACCA